CTGCTCCTCCTCCTCGACTTCCCCTCCCCCCCATTGCTATAACCACTGTTTGACGTGCGTGGCATTGAACCTAATAATTGATGAAACGACGTATATGTCTGTCCACAGAGGATCCTGCAACGTCTGCAAAGAGGGAAGTGAGGAGAGTAAACGAGTGCATGAAGTGATAGCGGAGGAGTACCGGAAGATGGGGCCCGTCTCGTGAGTCAGCTTGTCACGTGTTGACTGTGGTTACGTGACTTTTGTTGTTGTTATTGTTGTTGTTGCTGTTGTTATTCCTGCAGCTGGTATTGTTGATATACGATATGTACGGGTAGCTAAAAGAAGAAAACCGATGTAAAGTACAATAATTCGACCAACATTTGCACCAATTTCAACAAAACGTCGAAGAAATAAAATCCAATCAGGGGTACGTCTAATTTGTTGATAAGAGATAATGAATTGTTGTGCCCGCAAAAATATCACGTTTTTAAATGTCAATCCAAATTGAGTAAAATGCTAATTTTTACTTCTGAAAAAAAAAAGCAATCCCTAACAAAACAACAAACATGGCTTTACTGATGGGTATACATTTCGCAACCCCCCCCCCCCCCAACAACATTAATAATTATCTAAAACTTACATTGCCAGTGTTTAAAAAAAAAGAAAAAGAAAGCTAACTCATTCAGTTATTGCCCTATACGTGGGTCTTCTTTTTCTTTTACATCCTCTGACGGTTGTTCGTGTTTTCTGGTTTTAAATCAGGAGACAGCGCCATGGCTTTACATGACAATTCATTCAATGAGGGTCGGCGGGCGCGGTAAAGGAAATGGATGATTGGGGAGGCTGTTCCAAGCTGTTACCATGTTATGCTCTGCTCACTGTTATATAAGTCCTTGTTGTAGGACGATTGGGATTCCATGACGAATTATTCAAAACTGTGTAGGTATTGTTTCCTGTTACACTATTCAAAGGTAAAGTTGACACGAAAGGACTATCAGATCGTCAAACTGAAATGCATGCACATTACGCACCTCTCGCAGTCTGCCTCTTCCTACAGTGTCCGTATGTGAAACAGAGAATGTTCATCCTTAACCTATTTTTTAAATTGCGAATTTGTTGGTCATCTGTTCATCCATCCATTCTTTAAATCCTCAATTCTCCATGTCAGCTTTGCTTTCTCATCATTGATTCGATAATCTAGACAGCCAATAACGTTACCAATCCGACCCTCCCCCTACTCATTCCCTCTTTCCTCCCCTTCTCCCTCTCCTTCTCTACCTTCCTTCCCCTCCCTCCTTTCCTCCCCCTCCTCCCCTCCCTCTCCTTCGCTCCGCTCCTCCCCTCACCTCTTCTTCCCCCCTCCCCTCATCCCGTCCACAGATGTAGCCAAAAGATTATCATCAGCCTGTTCGTTATTCTGGTCGCTCTGTGGATCACCCGGGACCTGGGCGGCGTGGTGGGATGGGCCAAAACTTACCCGTCAAAGTAAGTCTTTAGTTTTACCCTTCTAAGTAGGTGTTACCTGTCTAAGTAATTCTTACCTACCTATCTATGTAGGCGTTACTC